AGATTAAAAAAAAAAAAAAAAAAAAAAAGAATACTAAAAATACAGCTTTGTCTGAGTTCTCTCATCATACTTGACCAATGTGAACCGTACTAGTTACCACTACAAAGTAGTAGGTTAAATCATCAACTTGTTACCCCCACACTCCGCTCTAGATATTTGGTTTTAAAGGTTGTTTTACAAACCTGAGCTCCAGCAAAATCAAGCCTGTTGCCGTTTGCCAAGATATCATCAACAGACTGTTCAGTCTCAAATGTAATAAATCCAAAGCCACGAGAGCGGCCACTTGAATGATCCTTCATAATTTGTAGCTCTTTCACTTCTCCTAACTTCGAAAAAAAGTCCCCGAATTCATCTGACATAAAAAGTCGCAACTAGATAGTATCTATCAGGATTTCCTTCCAGATATACCATTTTTGAAATAATATGACAGCATTTAATCATGTCAGGTCAATGCTCGAAATTACCTTCACCGACTGTTGTCGGAATACCACCCACAAAAATCTTCTTTGTTCTGAAATCTTTGATGTTTGCTCCTCTTGGTATGGTCCTCTTGATTTCTACCTTCAAATTTTGCAAAAACGAAGAGTCGGAAAACCCACAAACTAGAATCAATTAGAAGCTCATAAAAAGTAATAATTCTTGCATTAACACGACAAAATATGTCCCTACTTGCTTTCCATTAATAATATGAGTTTCCTCAATGACTCTATCAACCACAGATGGGTCTGCATAGGTGACAAACCCGAACCCGCGAGGATGCCCTGTCATCCTGTCCTTCATTATCACAGAATCCGTAATTTCTCCATATTTACCGAAATATTTGACAAATTGTGCTGCATTATCAATCCCATTCCAAACGCCAAAAATGATAAACAATAAAAATTAAAATAAAGAACTTCAATAAAAATAATCTTGAAATGCCATACCAGAAGTTGTTTCACGAGCAAGACCCCCAATAAATATTTTTCTACATTCCATCAAAAGTAAAACAAAAACACATCAATAATTAATATCGTAAAAGTAATAAATAATTCAAGATTTTCTAATCAAACACGAATAATCCAAGAACCCCAATAAATATTTTTCCAAATTTCATAACATAACCCAAAAAAAACTCACACCAAGAAAATATTTCCCAAATAGTTAAAAAAAATCAATATTTTTCAATGAAAACATTTAAATTACCCAGGACTAGCTCCATTTCCAGTGTGAGGATAAGAATTTTCGAAGTTGGTGCGTTCAGGAGTTCTTCCAACGCCGTTATCTTCTCCATTAACCATGAGGTTCATTTCACTTGCATTATGCTGCTCGTCCATGGATTATCACACTGAGCGATTAACGGCAGTAAAATACTAATTTGTAAAACAAATAATTGTTGGTTATTTTGTGCCGGTCGATAGTTCAAATGTCTCGACGAGCGGAAACCCTAATTTGATTTGATAGCCATTTTTGTTGAATGTTGTTTTGACCCCCTGAAATTTGAAGTACTTGCAATTATATCCCTCAAATTTTAAAAGTAAATAATAAAAAATTATAAACAAAATAGTTTTCCCCCAATTTGGTTCGGATAACAATTAGATTTTTATTAAATTTTAATAAAAATTAATGAAGTATATAATCGAAAAATTGATAAAAATTATAGATTTCATAAAATAAATTAAAAACAAATTTGAATATAAAATATCTTTTAAGAAATGAAAGAAAAGTAAATGCATATTTGGTATTGATTTTTCTCTTCAAAAAATTAATTTTTTTATTGTTATTTTATTATTCCAGATGTCATTTTTTACTTCTTCTTTCAGAGGTAGGATCCACTTTTCTCTCTTATGATAAAAAAAAAATAATTCTCAAAATTACTACCGAAGAAGCCATAAATAATAAAATTGATACAAACACCCTTGAAAATAGTTTTCCCCCAATTTGGTTCGGATAACAATTAGATTTTTAGTAAATTTTAATAAAAATTAATGAAGTATATAATCGAAAAATTGATAAAAATTATAGATCTCATAAAATAGACAATTAAAGACGAATTTGAAGAAGAAATAAATTTTAAGAAACGAAAGAAAAGCAGGGACTTTCAAATGGAAATGGCCGCTGATGTTGCCAAATCCATTTGCAGAAACTTCTATCTTCCCATACGTTAGAATGTATCGCTGTTATTGAAGGACTCCAGTTCGTAGCTGATAGACAATTGGATATTGCAAGTTTGGAGATTATTAGTTGAATTTTGTTTTTATATATATGTAATGGAATCAATGGACTTTTAATAATACATGGAACGGCAAAAAGATCCGTCCCGAATGAATTGGCGGGACTGGGCAGGACGCCCTGTTGTGAGGGGTGGAGCCTTGTCCCGAACCCGTCCCATGAAAATAAAATAAAAAAAGATTTAAAATAATTTTATTTTTAAACAATTCACCCGTTAAAAACTCATTTTGAATTTGTATTTTATTTTTTAATAATAATATAACTCGAAATTTTGAAAATATAAAAAAAATAAAAGATAAGAAAAAAATTAAACAAGGCAACAAACGAGGCAAAAAGTTGTCCCTTCCCCGCCCCAAAGTTTGTGCGAGATGGAGCAAGGCGGGGGTGCTTCGCCTCGTTGCCATCCCTAATGGAATCAAATTGGAACTAAATGACCTTTCGATTCTGATTTAGTTTGGTTTGATTTGATTTGATTTAGTTTTGCGTCCATTACTTAAAATTTCAAATAATAAATACAAATTAAAATTTATCACTATATTCACAAGTTAGTAACATATGTCTAAATTAAAAAAATAAAAATAAAAATAAACATCAAACATTAAGCAAATTCAACTTCAAATTATCAATCATCAAATAAATTATTTTGTAGTAAAATTCATTCATATAATAAATTAACAAACAAAACATATTCATAATTTGAATACCCACACATCAAGTTTCATCCTCGTACAAAATATTATCTAATGACAATGATTCACTAAGCATTTTAATTATTTTTCTCTTTTCTTATCAATTATGCATTTCTCGATAAAATAATATTATACATAATTTTTTTTTTAGTCTTTTTAATCACACATTCTCTAAAAATTTATTATGTTAATATATATATCAAAATCTCATTAAAATGGAGTCCAAATAGAGCTAAAATGGACAAATGAGTCACTGACGGAAGTTGAATTTTTTGGAATGATTCATTGATTTGTAAAAATAATAATAATTAGGACCATGTTAGATGTACATTAGCGTGTACATCAGGGTGTCCATAATGGACACTCGGCGCCTCGATAGCCTGCCCACCGACGTCTCGACCAATGACAAGGTGTCGGGTGTCCATAATGGACATCCGGATGTACATGCTAATGTACATTTAGCAACATCGTAATAATTATAATAATAGAGTTTGGTTTAGCAACATCGTAATAATTATAATAATAGAGTTTGGTTTCGATTCTTGTTCTAAATCCAGAACTTGAATCAAATGATTCTAAAACCAAGAACCGAATCATCTGGTTCGTGGTTTTAAGAATCAAAATCATAAATTTTTTTTTTTTTTTTTTTTTGGATACAACTAAATCAATTTGTTCGTTTTGATTCGATTTGGTCATTTTGTTCACCCCTAATAAATAGTCACATCTTTCACTACACGAAGAGATATTTTAATGTGCACTTGTTTTCTATATCGACTTTCACTTGCAATTACATTCGACGTAAAAGCCAATGATATCATCCTTGCTGTTTGCCAATTAAGGATGTCAATTTGATTCGTTGACTCAGACAGTTCGTGGCTCAGCTAGAAAAAAGTACCGAGCTGCCCCGACTCATGGTTTAGTAGAATCGAGTCGAGTCAAGCCCCATTTTGTGGTGTTGGCTTGAGCCTAAGCCAGCTTGTGTTACCATTTTCAACATGTTACCAACGGAGCCTAAAAATAAATAAATAAATAAAATCGGCTGCATACAAAACTTTAAAAAATATATATATTTAAAAAAAAAAAAAATCAATAGCTGCTATGCAGCCGTAGCTGCCTCGTTAAAGTTTCAAAAAAGAAAAATATACGTAATTTTGAAATTGATTAGTTTCAAAAAAATATGTAATTTTTAAATTTATTTGTTTCAAGAAAAATTGTACACGAAATATTTTATTCGTGTACAATTTTAATTCAGACTATTTTAAAAAAATATATAGATTCGTCGCGATTTTTTTTTCTTCCTTTTTTTCAAAGCGAGTTGCACTGGCTCAGCTCATTAAGACTCAAATCTAGATTTTTTGATCAAGCAAAAGCTCCACTCGACTAAGCTTCGAGTTTTGACTTGGCTCGACTTGTTAATATCCATATTATCAATAAGCTTTATGTAATTTTCAAATGAGTATATGGATCAATACCTTGGATTACATTTTAAAATTCGTGAAAGGTGATATAAGCAAAGAATAGTGTTTTGTTTGATGTTTAAAAAAGTTTTAATTGTTTTGCATAATATATTTCTCTTTTACTATTTCTTAATTTTCTTTCTTATAAAATAATGTAAAATATCTAAATTATACTTATAAAAATAAAAACTCTCCCTTTGGCTAATCTTCCTTCCTCCCCGAAGTGACGCATGTAACACATTAATGTTGCGTGCATATTTGATAAGATAAATTTTACAACATCGAAAGATGTTACAAAGAAAAATTAAATCTTATTTATCATAATATTCGAATAATTACAAAAACTTAATTTGTTAAAATTAAATTACAACGTCAAATTTATTGTTACAAAATTTTGTTAAATATTCAATTAGAAGGAAAATATAATGATTTTTGGAAGGTTTTGAAGTCAAATGTAACCATTTCTAAAATTTGAAAAAGAGATAATAACTAGAGTAATGTTATTCGTAGTGAGTCCTATGTGGCATATACTTGACAATTTGATATTTAATATATAGATATGGTAGTTATTTTTTGAATTATACATCAAATGAAGAACTATCAAGTATACGTCACATAGGGCGACTGTCGGTAATCTTCACTGCAAATATCATTATTCTAATAACAAATATACTCGCGGATTAATGATTAACGTTAGATACCTGTGTTTTATAAAATTACTTTAAGCCCCCTCTAGGCAAAAGTAAATGTAATATTCTTATTTTACTCTTATCTTAACATTCGGAACAATCCTTTTTCTAATTTTTATTAATTTTATTTTAGATAAGAAAATCCTTTTAACTTGAAACAAGTATTACTTTTATGTTTTTAGTATCATGGTAAGAACAAAAAAAATAAAAATAAAAAATGATTTGCATTATATATTGCACATGGAGAAATTTCATAAATATATAATAATATTTCTTTTAAGAAATGATTTACAGTTTAAATTTGTTTTAGATAATAAGTTTAAAGTTAATATAAATATAGAAGGGTAAAATATGCAGATTTAGTTCTAAGTGAAAAGGGAGTTAATTGTTCCAATGGTCACTGAACTTAGGTTCATATATTTGATTGATCACTGGAGTCTAAAATATCGAGTTTTGATCACTGAACTTAAGTTCATGTTTTCGATTGTTCACTGAAGTGCAAAATGTCGAATTTTGACTATTGAACTATGAAAAATATTATACATTACTCATTGAACTTTGAAAAATGTTGTACAATACTCACTGTAAACTCAACATTTTTCAAAGTCCAACAGTTATATTAGTGAGTAATGTACGGCATATTCCAAAATTTAGTGACCAAAACTCGATATTTTAAACTTTAGTGGGCAATCTAAAACATGGATCTAAGTTTAGTGAGCAATCGAGGACATTGACCTAAATTTAGTGACAAAAACTCGATATTTTAAATTTCAGTGACCAATCAAAGACATCAACCTAAGTTCAGTAACCATTGGAACAATTAACTCGTGAAAAGGAGAATCTATTATGAAAAAAAAAAACTTTGACCGATGTTTCTATGACTTTTGAAAACATGGAGAGTTTCCCACATATTTTCTCTTTTTAAGTAAATAAAATAAAGTATCAATTCATCTTGTTTTGATTGGTTAAATATTTTAACAATGCAAGGGTTTAAGAATTAGCATGCATATCATAATTCACAAACAAATAAAAGAAGGGGGCCACCAAAAAAGGATATAATCTCATAAAGGATAAAAGAATACACAAATCCAGAGAGCTATCCTTTAGAGGAAATGGAGTTTTGTTTCATATGTTCACTCTACTAGAGACATCTTACCCTGATAAGCCAAAATAACGCCCGTACTCAATGTTTAGTGCAATATCACAAAAGGTATAATTATCTAGGTATTGTCTCGGAGAGAGCCAGTAAGACTTGTTAAAATAGACATGTTAGTGAAGACGAGCAATATCAGCACCTGTGTTGTGCACAGAGGAATCATATTGTCGGTGAGTCTCTTCCTATAGTCGATCAATCTAGAATGTCATTTTGTAATTTGAATAATCGAGCATATAGTCCATCCTTGCAAAGGAGCTCTACATGATTACCCATCTGCATCAGATATTTAGCTCTTCAGAATGCATTTATTATGAGAATGCAAATAGCTTTACTCTTAAGGGAAAATGGTCTACATTAGCTGAACCAATTACATATTTGCACTACGGCAAATCTTATGCACATATAATTCTAATATTTAAAAAGGTTAAATTTACGGTAAATTCTCAAGTCAATCCATAGAATCTCACTAAGTTTTCTAGCCTTCTACTCTAATGGAATCTGTAATCAATGTTATGGGAGTATGTGGAGTCCAATCATACTGTAAACTAACCTGCTTGACTGCAATTCAACTTACATTCCTATATAAAGGATTTATTAGGGACCACCTTTGGTGCAATATAGGGGTTAACAAACTTGTGCTCTTCTTCCCACTATGATGAAAACCTACAGTGATCATGTTGAGGGTGAACCATTACATATCTATCTGCTATGCTCATTTCTGATTGCTTGTTCTTTTATTGTTGTTCATTACAGTAGGGATTAAGATTTAGACCATAAAACATGTTCAGATAAAGAGGGGGATCGTTTAAATTGGTACATGACACCTAGGGTCATCTACCCAGTCTGTATGAGCTTCGGTTCATACCCGTTTGACTCCTTTAAGGCCACAAGGCGTGGGAAGCCAACCTGGACGGTAGAAAAATGGACAGCAGGGTTAAGGATCCTCTCTACTTCTACCCTCCCAACATTTCCTTCATATCCCCTCTAAGTGAAGTTCATGACTATCTTTCCAACCAAAAATAAGCTGAATGACATGAAGATATCAAAAGATAAGGTCACCAGATGCTCTTGGCAATATAAATCTCCAATCACGAATATATATATATATATACACACACACACATACTTGTTTAAAAAAATTTCCACACGAGACATCATTTTTAACTTATCCCACTGTTTGAGAGATTCTAATAACAAAGCTGTCCAATCAAAGACTTCAAATAACTTCACTCGAATCTTAAATAGGTAGTTCTGAAAGCAACAAATGAATGCATTACCTCAACAACTTGTCCGCTATCCATTACCAGAATTCTGTCAACATCTTTTATGGTAGACATCCTGTTGAAGGTGGGTTACATATTGCAAGTCCGAACCCATAATGAACAAGAAAATGAGAGTGTGAAATGACAAACCTGTGTGCGATTATAATTACTGTACGATTCAATTCTTTCTTGAAAGAATAAAGTATCTCCTGCATGAAAGAATGTGTGGAAGAATGAAAACAATTTTTTTCCCTATCGCTTAAGAAAAGTAAACAAAATTAATGCTGGAGAATTTTTAGACCTTGATTAAGTGTTCATTCTCAGCATCAAGAGCGCTGGTAGCTTCATCGAAAACAAGAATTGTAGGATCTCTAAGAATTGCCCTTGCAATAGCAATGCGCTGCTTTTGCCCTCTACTTAATAGATTATTATCAATAGGAGTATCATAACCCCTGGGAAAAGAAGAGATGAATTCGTGCACATAAGCCCGCTTTGCAGCCCATTCTATCTCTTCCCGTTTGATGCTTCGGGGGCAACCATACATTATGTTCGACTTAAAATCAGCGTGGAAAATCTGAGGTTCCTGCTCACTAGAACTTTCAAGCATTATCTCTTGGCACATGTTTGTTTAAACTCAAAAAGTTCACTTATAACTAAATAAGTCAGTTTTAGCAACAAAAAAAAAAAAAAAAAATTATAATTGGTTTTGAAACAAGTTACTTATTTTGACAGCAATAAGAATTACATTTTAGATAATTAACTTTCTTTACATGAAACAGGAAACATATCTACATACGTCTAACCTGTGAAACGAATCCAATATTTTCCCTCAGCCACCTGATGTCCAGCTCTCTAAGAGGAATGCCATCTATTAAAATCTGGAAATCAGCATAAGCCATGTAAGACACCAGTGACAAAAAACCTATGCTGTGCTTCCAGGCTAATGCATAGCAAGAGAACTTAAGTATTCAGGTAAACAACATAAGCAAGCTCAATAAGGGAAAAAAAAAAAAAAACTATTCTGATCCAGCATTGAATGTTCAGAATGGAAGTCATTTATCATTGATTGAATTGGGATTTTTCCTGGTAACTGTTTACTTTCAAACATGTTTGATAAGTTTTTCTTCTCACATTTAAGTAAAAAAAGTTATTTTAAACTTAAACTTGTTAAGCTTAGCCTAACATCAAAATCGGAAAAAGATGAAAATATTCCAGAAGGAATATGGCATAAAATAGGAGTAATTGACCAATATGAAACCCAAAAAGTAATTAGGGAGGAATGATTCTTAAGCAATGGAGCAGAAGACGAAAAAGAAAAAAAAAACGCACATACAGCTCACCTGACCACTGTCTGGGTCGTAGAGTCGAAGCAAAAGATTGATTAATGTAGTTTTCCCGCTACCACTGGCCCCAACCTTCTTGCAAGTAGAAAGCACAGTTAATATCTATCTAGATTCTTCCCCAAAATTAGTGTGTATGTACAGGGTCATAGTTCTTACAATTGCAATTATGTTGTTAGGTTGTATCTTAAAGTTCACATTTTCCACAACTGGTACCTGTTCAAATGTGAGATAATAAAAATGCATGAATGCCTCCACGTGAATGGATATATAAAGAAGAACACTTGAAAGTTACATAAAGTTACATACTCATTCAACGAAGAAATATTAAAATTGAAAAAGTTGGAATAAAGTACTTTTTTATCTAATCAGCCGTGAATAAACACGGTTAGGAGAAGGAAATACACATAAAGCGGAAAAAAAAAGAGATTCTACTCTATAGGAACTAAAAAACAGGAAAATAAGACTAATTCAAAATCCTATCCATTAGGAATTTATTAAAACATAAAATAAGATAACAAAAATAATATATAATTCGAGACTCCTCCTAAAACTGGTGCATAGATATTTATCATACCCAACTTGCTGATTAAGGCCATATAAATGATATGGGTGATTGATAGGTAACTTTGTTCAAATTTGGGAAAGCAATAAATAACTTTTTAAATTTCCATGAGTACGTAGTAATCTATAACAAAGTTCAATGAGCAAAGACTAACCTTTTAAATTTCGGTGAGCAAGTAGTAACCTATAACAAAGTTCAGTGGCCATTGTTTAAATTAACTCTCAATAAAACAATATTACATGCAAACCTAAAACTTTTCTTTATTTTTTAACCATGCATTCTCCATCAATCTACTATTCCAAAATGCATTCTTATATTATAATGGGGCTCAAACAATCTCTAAGTATCAAACATAGGTCACTAAAGTCCTTTAGTCAAGATATTTGAAATTGACTACGAAGTTGGATTGAATGGTATACAAACAATTCCTCCTTGATGATATGTCGATAGATCTCCACGTGCTTAGTTCTATCATGTTCTATTGGATTGTTTGCAATACTAATAACCGTTTTATTGTCACCATAGAACATCATAGGTAATTCATCATTCATTTGCAATTCCTTCAAAACTCGTTGCAGACAAAATCTTACATATTCCAAGACTAATTTTCCTAAATTCAGCTTCTGCACTACTCCAGGCTACACCATTTTGTTTTTTGCTTCGCTAAGTAACCAAATTTTGTTTAGTTGTAGAGCCTAGAACCTAATTATTGCCGTTCCGTGGAGCCAGTATGTAGATCAACCTTCGTAGGGTTGGAAGGGGGTAGGAAGCTCCCCTCCCAAGGTCCGCCCCCGATCAAAATTTCATTAAGAACGGTTTAGGAATTTGGTTCCTTGTAAATTTTGATTTTATCCTAATTTATCTTACAAATGGAGAGCCATCGATAGACTATTAATTACCATCAAATAAGAGAGAAATAGAGGTTAGAAAAGATATGTGTGTAGTTTTCTCTTGTAAAATTCTTTTCATTATAGTAAATTACTGTAGTGTCAAAAGAGGATGTAGTCTCGTATTATGGTGAACCTCTATAAATCTTGTGTGTTATTTAGATGACCCAGTTTCCCTTTCACGTCGATGATGAGCTCAACAAACTAAGCCCACCCCAGGTAGTTCTTCCTTTTTAGTTTATGAACAAAGACACGTAGAGAATTTGAATGCAATTGTTGATTAAAGGACACTGCTGACCATGTTCAGTTCTTCAGTTTGTCCATTGTTCCCTCCAAAGATGAACTAGACTTGGTAGCTCCAGTCATGGCGGTTTTTACCATTTGATTTTTTCTGTCAAAGGCCTAAACTCTGATACCATAAAAAACTTTGAACGAAATTTTTTATTTCATTTGTAATATTCAGCTGTGAATGAACACATGTACACATAGGAAAATGAAATACACAACTAGATCTCAAAATATAGGGATAGAAGCTAGACTAATTCAAAATCCTATCCATTAGGAATTTATTCAAACATAGAATAAAATAACAAAAAATTAATAATTCAACAAAAACAATTAAAAACGTGAAATATCACGAGTATTCTAGAATTAATCAATTTAATTAATACTGTATCAAATTGTATCCCATTGTGTATTTTGCAACATTTCATGTCACCTCTATGAGCATTTAGCACATGTTTGGTATGTATTGTATTGTTATAGTGTAATAGATAGTACAATATGCAAGAGTTTAACTTCTTTTTCTCATTTGATACTGTCTTGTATTGTTTAATACAAGAGTTTAACTTCTTTTTCTCATTTGATACTGTCTTGTATTGTTTAAGCTGCCTTACTAAACATGCTATAAATAAACAAAGAACATAGTTAACATTCTAATCCACCAGGACTCCAAACAAACAAAATTTATAGAACGTAACTTGCATTAACAATTCTATTCCTAGTACAGTTCACCTCCTAAAACTTTGATACTGTCTTGTATTGTTTAATACAAGAGTTTAACTTCTTTTTCTCATTTGATACTGTCTTGTATTGTTTAAGCTGCCTTGCTAAACATGCTATAAATAAACAAAGAACATAGTTAACATTCTAATCCACCAGGACTCCAAACAAACAAAATTTATAGAACGTAACTTGCATTAACAATTCTATTCCTAGTACAGTTCACCTCCTAAAACAAAAGTGTCTGAAGTAAAAATTTTAGGAATTATCTATTAACCTTGACCTGGGAGAAATTTGAAATAACATATGGCCACTGCTCATTACGAATAATTCCGATATAAAGAAAAACTGGGCATGCCCATCACAGACACGGTGTGATCTGATTCTTATTAATCTATTGATTTCATTTTATTCATTTCTCTTAGTATTGCACAAAGGACACATAACTAAGTGGGTAAATTGGGAATACAGAAGCAAAAAAAATCAATTGGAGAAAAACCAAATCTTTCATCGCCAGGATGGATTTCATCATCAAGAAACTCAATCTGCATATCCATTTAATGTTGAACACTTCACACCATAAATATTTGTAGATCACTTGTGAAAACAAAGGAAAGTTTTGTTGTAGAAAATGAATTTAATCTTAATTTCTGAAGTAGCTATAAATATACAGAAATCGGAAGTTACCTTTTTCCTAGAAGAATAGTTAAAGGACACATTCACAAATTCAATGTCTCCCTTCAGCCTCTGTAACTTTAATCCTGTACATGGAAAAATTCATCATAAGTTATGATCCTCCATATAGTCTAAAAGAGAAAAATTATTCTTCTGGTTGTTTTTCCATAAAATAGAAATGTTTAGCATCTAAAATAATTCAAAAATATGAACGTGTAAATCAAACTACATCAAGCAAAAAGAAAACACAAAGAAAGAGGATATTGCCTTTTGATAAGAATTGATGGCTGGGTGAGATATTCATCAACTGGAAGACTTGTTCACAGGCTCCAATAGACTGAAGTAAGGACGACATATTGTCTTGCAACCTCCAAGCGGCATAAATGAGCCACTCGCAGTAGAAAACATACTTCATAAGTTGCTCTGCTGATACGTGCCCACTAAAAATAGACATTCCTCCTAAAAAGACAGCGAAAACCTGTGACATGTAATTTGAAATAAGAGTATTGAATTTCTTATCTATTTCAGAAAATTTTCTATCATGATATCAATACCATATAGTGCATGCAAATAAATTCATCCACAAAAGTTAGGCTTCAAAGCCTCATTAAGAGCATAACCTGAGTCATTCGGTACAAAGCACTGAAGCTGAGGTTCCACAATCCATAAGCTATACTTTCCCTGATGCTTATAGAAGATAACCTTTCGAGTCCTTGCATGAACCTAAAAGCAAATATGATGCAGGGTAAGTTTGCCTGACAATTGATCATTATATTCTAAATTTACATCGATAGGCTGGTTTCCATATTTGACTGCTGCTTCTATAAATGTTTATGGAGACATGGACATGAAGCAAAAATATTTGAATAGATTATTGAGACCTTTGAAGTTCCTCAGTTTCTGTTCCATAAGCACGGACTGTCCTCATCAAAGATAGAGTTTCTTGGGCAACCTGATTTTTTGGGAAAAAGGAAATATTAAATCATTTAATAAATAAAGAAAAGTGTGTAAAACATGCAATGAGGATTTCAAGTTGACTGTTTTACGTCATTGGAAGAAGCTGCCCACTTTTGTGCAAGCATTGCTGCTTTCTTCTGGTACCTGTCCATCATAACAGCTTAGATTTTTCCCTGGGGCATAAAATATGTAAATGCACCAAAAAAAAAAAAAAAAAAAAAAAAAAAAAAAAGAAAAGAAGCTCAGTGACAATGGAGAAACAATATCTGCACACACAACTATATATACTTTTATCCATATATTGAAGTCTGTTTCATAACTGAGCAAGTTGCCCTAAAGTCAGCACTCACATGAGCAAAGACCTTAACCTTTTGCTTGAAATACAATAACAAACTAAGCATTATTATCAATAAATTTGGGTAAGGTATGAATAATTTTTGTGAATGTTTTTAGGAGTATTGTATTTTATTGTATTGTATTTACAGACTTTTATTTATTACACTACACACTGTCCCACTCTGTCCAGTTCATGGTTGCATCTTCTGGAAGGCCAAGAGGAACTATATTCTTAGAAATTACATATCATGTTAGGTAAGGTCGTTACCTCTCTATTCTTACCCGTTTTTATGAAACGGACCTCTTTAGGTCTATGCAAGACATATCCTAACCACCCAAGTTGTCTTTCCCTTTATTTATCCTCAGGCTTGGTTGTATATTTAGAATTTTTTTTTTTTTTTTTTTGAAAGGTAATCAAGTATTTTATTAATAAAACCATAATACACAGGAAGTGTATTATCAATACAAAGTATATTTAGATTTTTTATCGTATCCATGTTACTATAATTAGTTGATTTCACATCCATCTTGCATCCTTATTTCCACTACGTTCATATCAAAGGCATATTGTCCTTTAACAACCAACACTCGATACAATAAAGCATAGCAAGTCAAATTATTGCTCTATAGACCTAGCCTTTTATCCTCATAGGATCTTCCTTTCGCACAGAATTCTCGTTGCATTTATTTCATCCAGTCTGTTCTAATTGTTTGCATTAAATCTTCAATTCCTCATTTCTTGTTAATAGTCAAACATAAATACCTAAAATAATCACTTTTCGAGATGACAGATTCCTCTATAGTGAATGCATTATTTCTTTATTCCTAGTACTACTGAAGTAGCATTGCTTGTACTTTGAAACGGTACTTAACCTAAAGGCTTCTAAAGTTCTAACTTAAGAATGAAACTCTTTTTAGTTTCATCAACTAAAACTACGTCATCTGCGAAAAAATACACTAAAGAACCTTATCAATATATCCCATAAACTCATCAGTAACTAAAGCGAAAAGAAAAAGACTTACTGGCCATACACAAGAAAAATTGCAGATAAAGTGAAGCATATGACCAGTGATGACAGAGCCAGAGGCCACGACAAAGTCATCAAGTTAATGAATGCACCTGTCCCCTGAAAAAATATTTTGGCAAGAGGTGTAGGCCGCATAAACAAATTTATATCCAGAAGATGGATTCGTATTAATTAGCATAGTAACCTGAAGAATATTGCGTAGAATTAGATGTATATCATTTCCAATGCTATGGGATAATCGCTGACAATCTGTACCAAGTCTGCTAGTTAAATCACCCACTGCTGCTATTTCAAAAAAGGATATATCCTACATCATATGTAATGTAAAAACAGAGTATTTTAAATTGAAAATGTACAGGAACATCTGACGAGCATTATTACTTTTATATTACATTTCAAATCCAAGTGTGTAAGAGCTGTTGTAAGTCTCAAACCTGAAGAAGAAGAGATCTATACAAAGTTTCCCTGAGTCGTTTAACCTGCAAAAAAGACCATCATAAACACCAGGATTTCTGGCATAAAGAGCAGACATGTCAGACATAAACTACCTGTATAGAAGCAAACATTAATTTATTTTAAGACAATGACGACAGCCTTTGGATGAGACCCAACAAATGGTATTTTTAAGTGATTGCAAAAATGTATTGTGAAGAAAAAAAGGATGACAATTAAATCAAATGAGTCAACAGCTGCTCCTGAATATCAAGATACTAAAGTGACAGCCTGGCTTCACCGCCAATTGTGAAGCTAAAACAAATAGATAACTGGTGCCAGACACTTGTATAAATACCACGGGGGACTGACTGCACTCGATAAAGTAATGCAGTCAGGCAGGTCAGTTACTTCAGATTCGAAATACCATGTTCTTTGCAGGCTGCTCTAAGTTCTGTTCCAAAAAAAATGGAAAACCAAAGGAAACTCATATTGATTCTGATGGACGTTTTCATCTTTAAATCAACCATTTTAATGCATAAAGAGCGTCACAGGCTCTAGTTACATAAATTTATGAAACAAAAAATTTAATATTACTTCACTGTCTATTTATGAAACAAAAAGTTTAATATTACTTCACTGTCTTTGTTACTTTTGGGCACAAATTCTCCATTGTTCTCTTGGTTTGGCCAACGATATATGTGCATGTTTTGTTTAATTCGTAATGGTTAAATGCAGGTGTGTAAAACTCGTATAAAACCTACAGTAGGGCACTCCTAATCCTATTCAACTTACTTACATAAACTCAAATGCCCAATGTTAAGATATTAGGCTGCCAATTGAAATAAATCATAAACATTTAAGACTCACCAAGATTGTATTTGCCAATGCAAAGCATCCACTTCGCAGACCACTGCAATTCAGACAAGTTAATCAATTTTATATAGCAGCGTCAATACAACAACACTGCTTGTCAGAAACTGATATCCCTGAATGAAAAGGCATAATTAATTTTTAGGACGAGCACTAACAAGTTTAAATCGTAAAACTAGAAAGCAGAATGCATTAGATTCAATCATCAGTTAACTTATGCATATGCATGATGAGAAACTGTTCATTAGACGGGGGCTGGATTTGGCGGCATGTCAAGTGGCACACAAGTCAAAACGAATGCCAACTTAATGAATTACATAAGTATTGCAGTTCGCAATACACTTTCATAATTTGATCGACTTTGCAGAAAATACAGAATTCTAGGATTTGTTTTCTTGGGTTTGTGGAGGGATATAAAATAACCTGCATATCCCAGAGGTGAAACACAGGAGAACTAGTAGCCAGGTGTTTCGGTGAAAAACCATTGTTTTACCACTTTGTGCAGAGAAGATGGCTCCAGCCAATATACTTGGAATTGAGATCTCCGAAAGCTAAAAAAACGTATCATGAATATTAGAAACGTAAATAATAAGAAAGTTTGCTCTGATAGAAAACAAAAATTAACTCTACGTGTGAACAAAAGACGGCAAGAGTATAATCTTGAGAAAGTGAAGGACTTCTCACATCAAATCGCAATTATTAATAAGCCATATACTTGACCATTCCACCTCAAAAGAAATTAAATGATTCGAAATAAGTACATCAGAAGTTCAGTTTTGAGATACCAGAAACGTAATTTAATTATTTTAGACTGAATTATTAATTTGAGAAAAATCGATGGCTCTAAATCAGCTCAACAACATATTAACATAGTTCATGAAAATTATCAACAGAAGAATTGAGTTACTAAAAGAGCAAACCAACCGCAGCAACAGTTAGGGCACCAAATGCTGTGTACAAAACCCAATGTTCGTCAGTTACCAATGCCCACATTTTGCTAAGAGCATTCAAAACAGTAACTGGCTTTGCCCCATCTATTAGCGGCTCAGAATCATACAAATCCCACCAATTTCCACCCGGAACATAATCCCTCCATCTCTTGAAAGTGTGAAATATTTCATCACAGCCCTGTTGAATTTGCTTACATGCATTTGAATACGAAACACTTGTTGCTTGATTTATTGTATTGGAGTGGTGAAAATTAAAGTTACTGCGTGTAGTTGAATACGAGAATTGGATTTTGGTGTTGATATACAGAGGTGAAATATTCCGCCATTTGAAGCTGGGATGAAAATGGAAGATGGTCGGAAGATTGGCCATGGATTGGTGAATAATTCAGAGATTCTTTAAGCCCTACTTGGACTCCATTCAATTTATGGGCTTGTGTTGAGTCCCCCCAGCTTTTTTTTAAGCATGAGCCACATTATTAATGTGAAATCAATAAAAAATATGTGGATAAAAATAAGGAAATATTTTAGATTTACGTGTAATATTATTTTATTAAAAAATGTGTTGTTAAAATGATATCAAATCAAATATATTTTTTTGAAAATAATGTAGTTCAAACAAACCCTAAATATATTTAGAGAGTGTTTGAGCCACATTATTCCAAAAATATATATTCTTAAACAGTGATTTGATATCATTTCAATCGAACATTCTTCAATAAAATAATAATACACACAAATCAAAAAAAAATTCTTATTTTTTAACAACACATTTCCCATCAATACACTATTCAGGAATGCATTATTACCAAAATAATGTGACTCAAACACCCCCTTATTAATAGTGTAACAATGGATATACATATGGATAAAAATAAACCAAAATTTTAAATTTATTTGTAATATTATTTTTTTGAAAAATGCGTAATTGAAATGTAATCAAATTACTGTTGAATAATACATTTTGATGAAAAAAGGGAGACTAAAAAATAATTTATTTATTTTTCCTTCTTCTTATCAATCACATATTTTTCAATAAAATAATATTACATGTAAACCCAATTTTTTTTTCTTTTTTTACCTATATATTTTCCAAAAAATTACTATTTCAAAATGTACTTTCTCCAAAATTCAATCACAATGGGCATTTAGCTACGATTACAAGTTTAGGTTAAAAATGTCAATTGACAACATTCGTCTAACATATTTCATCCCATGTTTATAGCCTTCATATTCCTTGTGTTTTTGTAGAAGAAGAAGCATATTTTATTGTTTTTTTTTTTTAAAATGACTTCTACTTAGTTTGATGTTTGCTTTCAGATGTATTTATATGAAGCATTTTCCTTTGAGTGCGATTTATTGAATTGATTAATAAAGTAATAAAGCCTTTGATAAAACATGCTACGTGGAGTAATAAATACCTCCATAGCTCCTCCAATCAGCTTCAAATATATAAATAAGAAGAAGAGGAAAAAGAAGCAGCTCTTGAAATAATGAAAGCCATGGCAACTCTTAGAATTTCCTCTTTTCACTCACGTTCTCCCTCACTTTTTCCTGCTTCTTTTGGTCTCCCAGTCTTTCTATATATATATATATACGCACACACACATGTATATAACTCTGCATGAGTCTTTGTATTGTTTTGAGTATAAGCATTTGGTTTTTCTA